ACATATATTACTAGAAAAAAAAAAGTTGGTGAATTCCTTTATTATCTGGACATATCCTGAGCTTTACTGAACCTTAATTGTAACCTGTTGCTTACCTAATAAACCCTATAATCATGAATATTGTCTGTGAGTTCTACATGGCCATTGCAACAAATTATTCAGCCCAGCACAAAAGTAGAGAGTGTCATGGAAGGGATGGTTGGTGTCAGAATTGGTGAAAAGTTTGGAGGGTGGCAGCATGTCTGGCCTCATAGGAATAAGACTTGGGCTGTTGATGGTGCTTTTTCTCTTCCCCTTGTGAAGTCAGAGGAGGTCAGCAGATGCAGCCCCCATGCAGCTCATATTTTGCATAGTTCTACGCAGTCATCTGGTGGGAGTCACAAAGACCATGGCTAGAAGAGCCATATTAAATAATTCACTGCACTGCACAATGTAAAATTCTTTATCATTTCTTTTTATGGCTGCATTTTATTCTGTTGTGTGAATGTACAACTAGTCCCCTATTGATAAACATTCATGTTGTCTTTCAAACTTTTGCTGTTACAAATAATGTCACCATGATCAACCTTGTGCATAAGTCATTTTGTATTTTAGCCAATGTATGTTTGGGACAGATTCCTGGAAGTGAAATTGCTGGGTCAAGGGGTAATTTTCACATACGTATGTAATTTTTCAAGATATTGCCAAATTCCCCTCCATTTTGTATCCCCACCACCAATGTATGGGAGTACCTGTTTACCCACAGTCTCACCAGTTAATTAGGTTGTTAAACTTTTGAATTTTTTAAAATTTTATAGAATTAGTGTATCTCTTAGTTTAGCATTCTCTTATAACTGAGGTTGAACATCTTTCTTAATATTGAAATATTTCCATAAAATATCTGTTCATATTTTGCTTTTGATCTATTATTAGGAGATCCTTTTAAGTTGGAGGCATTAGCTCTTTGTTACATAAGTTTCAAAAATGTTTTCCCATTATGACTTCCCTTTTAGTGTGTTTTTTTGCCTTGTGAATTTTTTTTTTTTAATGTAATCAAATTTATTCATTGTTGTCTTTATTGCTTTTGCACTTTGAGTCACAGGTAAGATTTTCCCTACTTTTGGGTTACAAAGGAATATACCCACGTTATTTCTACTAATTTGAGTTTCACCTTTTACATTTAGCTATCTGGTGTATTTGGAGTTTATCTTATTATATGGTGTGAGGAAAAAGATCCAATTTAATCTTTTTTCAAACGGCTATCCAGTTGACCCAGCATCACTTATTTTGTCCAACTTTTCCCCCACTTATTTGAGACAATACCTTTATCATATACCAAATTTCTGTATTCCTTAGACTTTTCTAGACTTTCTATTTTATTCCATTGTTCAGGCCATCTATTCATGTGCCAGTACCACACAATTTTGACTAACGAGGTTTTATACACATTCTTCTTTAAAAAAAAAACAAAAAAATATCTTCTTTTCCCAGGGCTGGAGGTATAGTAATTTTTTTGCCTTAGTATTGGTCAGCTGTTAATCTGTCCACTGGTCTCCCGGTGCTGATAGCATAAATGGGTAAACCTGGTGAAGCTAAGAATTCTGCCAAAACTTAAACTGTTTTTAGACTCTTCTCTACATGTAATGTAATGATTAAGAACAGAGGCTTTATAATAATGCATTTGAATCCAGTTTAAGGTGTTTATTGCTGTATGATGTTGGTATAGTCTACTGAGCTCTCTAAATTTCAGTTTCTTATAATGACCAAAACTAAAAAAAAAAACCGAAACCCACTGCTATAGAATCAATTCCAACTCATAGCAACCCCCATTAGGTTTCCAAGGCTGTAAGTTATGAAAGTAGATTGCCTCGTCTTCCTCCCGTGGAACAGAGTTTGAACCACCAACCTTCTGATTAGGAGTCAAATGCGTTATATACTGGACCACCAGAGCTCCTTATAATGGTAACAAAAGTATAGAATGTAGTGGTCTAGAAGACTAAATGAGATAATCCATGGCCATCAAGGAGTGTATTATTAGCTTATGACTTATTTTTACAATTCTGTTTTTATCCTGGAGTTTCACCTTTTCCTCCCCCACCCTCACATAGTTTTCCATTCATGTAAGTAATGCCTTTTTGCCAAATTAGCACTTGTTTCCTCCTAACAGCTTTCACTAGCTCTACTGCCTATGCTGGGTTTACAAAGGTAATGGTGATGATGAGCTCAAAGACTTCATGCACAAAGAAGTCATATATATATATGTGTGTGTGTGTGGTATCAACAGATACCAACTGACACCAACTGTAAAAACAGCAAGGAGGCCACATGTTCTGACCTCCTCTAATTTCACAAGAGGAAGACAGCAGTAACCCAAGGCCTATT